AGGTCACCCTACTTCTAGCTCACAAAGGCTTCCATCCAAAACAAAGACTAGCTACAGGTTAATGTTTTTAAATTTAATAAGTAAACAGTTACCTATGCCGGCACTAATCTAGGCACCAGAGAAAGACTCAGCAGTAAAAGAGACCAGGCCCCTGCTGTCAGAGAGCTTATCTTTTTAGATCTCTTCACAGAGAAGGAAAAAAAGAAAACTTTTTATAACTTAGAATTAATCTTTTTTCTTTTTGTTGTTATTTTTTCTTTCTTAGAATTACTTTTTAAAGATGAAATTGTTAAAGTAGTTTATGTTTTAAAAGCTTTAAGACTCATTAACTAATACAAGAAAACTTTTCTTAGTTATTTCTACAAAGTCAAGCTCACACTGAGAACAGCCCATCTCAGTGTCAGGCACAGACATGGACAGACCTTCCTTCCCAGTGTTTCCAAAGACAAGGGGCCCTCAGGGAGCACCCCACGAGGTCATAAATTGCTCTAATGCCCTCGCAGCTGTAGTACTGCAATGATATGAGAGTCTCTCTAAAATGTGAAGCCAAGAAAATGGGGGTAGGGGGGTGACAATGCCCAGCCTGTGTGGGTCAAACGTCCACAAAAGAGCTCTGCTCTTCACAGCAGTAAGAGAACCTGCTCATTTTTAGGTAATTCTGGAGATAAGTTAAAAACATTCTTAAAAGTTTCAGCTCAAATAGTAAATATTAAGAATACAGAATATAGTAGTATTCAGTTCTCAGGGTCCCCTGCACTGTCCCGTCGCTATTCTATCTAGACCATTTCTGACGCTGTCCCTGACACAAAGGGAAATGAGGATTTTATGCTGCTACACAGAAGCTTCTTGCATGTTGTCCTTCTGAAATTTTCAATTGCATTTGCGGTTTTTAGTCTGACACACTTACCTGTGCACATGACCCACTCACATATATCCCAACGCACCATTTAAAAAAAAAAAAAAACAAACTGTCTCCTTTGATACTTCCATTCTTAACACAGCAAGTTTCATTAAAACTAATGGCTACTGATGGGTCAAAAGAATGTCTGTTTAGCAGCCCAATGAGGTCTGCTCTTGGCTGCACTGTTCTTCCCACCATCACCCGAGGCCTGGAACACTTCTGGGGGACCACCCACTTCTTGGGGACAGGACAGGAACAAAATCCATGGAGGCACTGATTTCTATTGGGTCACATCTCAACACACTTGTTTCTTAATGGTCTTCGGTGGTTAATGTCCACACTCGAAGGAATAACCAGCAAATTAACCTTAATATGATGAGAGCAGTAATTACATTCTCTGCCCAAAAATCCAGCTCAATTTTTAACTTCCTCGCTAAGGAATGATTCATACTAGTAATGGTGGTTACTTCTTGAATTATGAGCAAGAAGGTAAAATGTCGATTAGCTGTATTTGATGTTTAGCTTTAAACACACAGACCCAATTGCCTCTCTGGCCCCATGGTGAGGATAAAAACCTGCTTCCCACCCAGAAGGACAAAGAACAGGACATGTTCCTGTTAAATTACTCTCCATCCCTAGTTGATTCAAATGTGACTTAAAAAAATTAACAGCAATTTAAATTTTTGCTTTTCTCTTTATCAGTTCTGGCACAAAGGTATTTTAAATGGATACACTTTAAGATTCCATTATTCCCAAAAGGTGTATTCACATACTACTTCAGGGAACATGCCAAAACACATCTCCTATGCAACAAAGCATTCCTCTCATCCTGAGGGACATGGTGACATCTGTTTTCATGACAGGCCTTCATTCCTCATAATATTATTCCTGTGACTTCTGAAAAAACCCTAAGTCCCTTCTGATCTCCTTGGCTATTATAAATAAACAATAATCGGGAAAGAACCAATCCCCAGTCATTTTAGGGAATTTCTTGCCTAGTCATAAATTCTCGCTTACATCCAAAGGAAGTTAAAAAAAAGGACTCTGTTACCATGGTAATACTGAGTCAAAATGTTTTTGGTCTATCATAAAGGACAATGTCAAATGCACTTTAACTCTGCAGGTCACCTTCAAACAAGCTGCTCAAAAAGAACCAAGCACACAAGTCCTACGGCATATGTGATGGTGGTGACAGCAGCTTATAGACACACACCTACAAGCTGTGCCAGGAGCAAGGGTGTGGATGGGAGGGCCAGTGTGAAAGCTACCTTCCAGCCATCAAGGGCCACAGGACTGGCAGTACTTGCTGAAACCAACCACCCATCGGATGTCATTAGATGTCACTCATCACTTGTCCTTTGAAGAGGGCCCCTGCCAAACAGGTTTATCTGGTTCAGGTTCCAGGCTGGCACTCAGCAGGTGGCTCAGCACCAGGCCAGAAGCAAAGCTTGACAGGCAGGAAAGCCTGAGAGAAGCTGCCTCCATGAGTAGCTCCTAACCCCTGACTTCATTTTCTCATCATTCAAGGCCCTTCCCTTTTCTTCCCCCTGTTCCCCATGCACAGTATGTGGCCTCCAACCAACCGACAACGGGCAAAGAAAAATGCACAGCCTTGTCACTCTGAGTGGCTCCTTGCTGCTGAGCCAAGGTTTCAATTAAAGGAATAATCCCTGCGTGCCTTTCCTGACTGTCATCCTCACCATACCAGATACCCGTGGTGGGAAAGGAGGCTCTCCAAGCCCTGGTGCCAGCTATAGTCCAGTGCCTCAGGCCTTCTCTCCCTTCCAGAGCATCCTCAGGTCAATCCTGTTCTCCACTTCCACGACACAGCAGGCTGATGTCTCGCAGGCAACTTGTCACCTTGCCCAACTTGAGCTCACAGCAAGTCACCTACCAGCTACACCCCCTGCCATCTCTCACAGCCTCTGGAAACGTTCTGAAATGTGGGAGGAGGAGTCTGCCTTCATTAAAATAAACACAATTCCCAAGCACACTGAATCCCAGGCCACAATAACCCAGAGCTTTTCCCTGCTTCAACCATTTTCAAATAACATTTTCTGGGAGTTTCCTGGGCAAACTCAGTCTGCTCTCTCAGTAACACTACTGTTAGAAATTCACAAGCTTACAGTGTTTTCCTGCTTATAACTTTGCTTCAGCAACGACGACAACAGCTCTACTGTGCCAAGTGCTGCACAGCAAAGCTCTTTGACTTTCCACTAACAGCAGCACAACCTGAAATAACACCCCATTGACAGATGAGAAAACGTAAGCGCTCAGGTTACATGCTGCGTCCCAGTCTCACAGCAGGCTTACACCCCAGCTCCATCTCTGGAAGCAGTCTACCAGCAAAGCCATTTTGTTGCCCTTTGCCCTACTTGGGCCTGTGAGCGTCTCTGTGTGGGCAGGAGAACATTGTACCTGGCTCACATGACCCAGGCTCAGGGACCAGATTCTCAGGACCCAAAATTAATACAGACTGTCTGATGTTTCCTGTGATAAGCCTTAAAAAGGTAATGAGAAAAATTATATCTAGTTACATATTTCACAAGTTTCATTCACTGGGTTATCGCAGAAAAGGGCGAGAGGTACTGTGCCCAAACGTGCCCCCATTTGAGGAGCAGGAAACCACTATCTTCAGCACAGTCAGTTCTCGGGTCTCATGCATTTAACAGGAAAATGTAACTTAAAGGATAAAATAAGAACCAGTTAGCTGAACATCACCGAAGTGTATAATAATTATTCCTCTACAAAATTCCTTATCTCATAGAAAAATAAAAAAATTCGTTCTCCAAATTTGGCTAAAGCAAGGGAGACAGAGTAACTGGGACTTTCAGAAATTTCTAGAAACTCCATGTCCTATTCACATCAATTTTAAAAGTTCTTTATTAAAGGGTATTGCAACCAAAAAAATCTAAGCTGAAAAAAACATGAATTAAGAAGAGGACCAGCTGTGCTCATCACAAAAGAATATAGCACTTGGCAGGGGGGTTCTTTAAAAAAATTTTTCCTGGGGCATTCGGATTTTAAAAATTGTCAACTAGGGACTGCACAGCAAACGAACAGTTGTTCAGGGTCATGCCAAAGGAAGATCAGCAAGAACTACAATACCAAAATAAATCACCTATAATATAGTGTGACATAACACAATGAGAAAATGGGATTTTATTTATATGAATGTAATGTACGTAAGATTTCACAGTCCTACACCCGTTATATACACAGCTGAGAAAGACCAAAAAGGATGCCCCTGGACATTCATTGAGTCCAGTCTCTAGGCTTCCCTCTGTTCCACTACAGAGGAGTCTATGAACATGGAAAATGGAAAAATAAGTCCAGCTGGTTTCTATGAATCATTTAAACTCCTTTTTACAAATACCCGAATATACAGATTGGTGCTTGGAGTAGGGGAGGAGAGAAAGGATTTTAGGGAAGTTGTTCTCTTACAAAACTCTTATTCCACAGATAGCAGTTGGTTCAGATTTATTTCTTGAGACCTTTCTTCAGCAGAATTCCCCAGCTGTAAAAGTCCAGATCCTTCTCCATTGCCCAAACACGAATGCACAATTTTTCCTTTGGGGAGAGGATTATGCTGAAAATTAGTGTTGCATAAATACCGTTACCTTTTCTGGTGAAAAACTCCTTGGAATATTTCCCCACCATAGCGTATTTTCGAGGGACTTTCCCCAGCAGTTCAATGATCAATGCTATGTGATCTGCATTGGGAAACATTGCCAGCAAAACAGAAACACACGACAGTTTAATCAGTACACTGCATGCAGACACTACCACCGCCTGCGCAGACAGAAACAGAGCGCGACCGGAATGATCGAAAATACAGGATTTGCCCACGCTGCCAATTCAGGGCCCAGAGCTGGAGGGTACCCAGCTGTTAGGGCACTGAGGAGAAGTTGGTGCACAGGGTGACCACAGCACAGGGCCAAATGAGGTTTTCCCCTGACATCTTGTTTAATCAGCATAGGAATTTTGCTGTGTTGCTTTCTGAATTTAGGAGAAATGCCTTTGTCACAATGCTACAACCAGCAGCTGCTATTCCATTTCTGTCTGCATCGTGGCGCTTTTCAAAAAGAAGAGGTACTACCTCTGCGATTGAAGAATTCCCGAGAATATTTTCCAGATAGAGCAAAGTGCCTTGGGATACTGCCTAGCAGCTCTATGATGTGGGCTATGTGGTCTATGAAGGAGAGAAAAAAAGGATATGGGAATGGGAGGGGTAAGGGGAAGGATGGGATAAAAGAAGAGGGGAAAATTGAAATTAGTAAAAAATCAGAAATAGATTCAAATCAACAATGTCTGCAGCACATCCATGCAGAGGCCGTGGGACGGGCTGGCTTTGGCACCATCTGGAGCACCACCAGTGGCCAACTGCCAGCTCACCCCAGGCCACCCAGCATCACAAGCAAACAAGCATGGAGATGGTCAGGTTTACAGATGGAATTCAAGCCAGAATTCCCAGGTTTTCAACTCAGCTCCCAAACGGGACAGAGAAATGGGCAGCGGCTCAGTGGACAAAAGCCCCATGGGGAGCCTTTGGGTTTCTCCAGGCCAGCTGGGCGCCTGCCAGGGGGGAGGCCTGCAGGGGAGGCACCGAGCCACCTGAGGCCCGCCTGAGCACGCCCGTGCCAGGCAGGCTCTGCCCATTCACTGACACTGAGGGGGCATTTCAAACTCAAAGAAAAAGCTTCTGAATTTGGTGTTTGAAAACCAAAATATGGCTCTATTTCAGTAAAAAAAATACAATACTCTCTAGAAGTTGAGGACTAGCAGGAGACGCAGAATGAGGAACACAGCAGGCAGCAATACTCACCTTCATCTCTGGAATAGTCTTCCCCAGAATGCGGTTCAAACAAATAATCTCCTGTTGCCAGCTCAAATGCCTAGGATATAACAGACGACATGCTAAGCGCTTCACAGAGACTGGCCCCCACATCAGCAACTTCTCCTCCTTACAGAAGAGACGTACATTTTATAAGGATCTGAATCAAACCGCAGAGCCTCCTAAAAGGGCACAACAGAAAGTTTTTCCTTTCTTCCAAAAAGTTCAAAGAAGCTTCAGGAATATTTTTACCACTCTTCTCATGGAAGAGATAAGGGCTATGTATTCTCTTCATTTTTCAGGAAGCAAAACTGAAACGCCAGGAGGTCTGCAGCCGGGCTGGGCTGAGGCACTGTACTCGTTCTATAAATGGTAGAACGAGGGTTCAGTCCAGGCTTCGAGCAGGCCCATCTGGCTGCACAGACCACCCTCCACCACTGGGCTAACCTGGCCCCTGTACAGCACATGCTGCTGCTGCTTTCTTTACACAAGACCTTCACGGATTAGTAACCAAGGACTATTTCAGTGTCTCATCATCTATTTTCATTATCATTTCATTCATTTCTGACTCTACCAAAGGAAAACCTAAAACCAGAAAGGACCCTCATGCTCTGCCCCTGGGGCCAGATGAAGCAGATCGCCTTGCAGACCCTCCGAGGAAGCCGAGGAGAGCTGCTTCCTGGGTCAGCACCAGCTGCCCTCAGAGTGCCAGCGTGTGGGGAAGGCCATTTGTTTCCATTTCCCTTGTTCTCAAACAAAGCTCAGGACCATGAGTGCGATTTGATAACAACACACAAAGACAGTAACTGCTCTTGCTCTGCTGAACAAATACCATGTTTTTAAAATTAAAATAAAAAAAAAAAGAATAAGCTACACCCCACTTACAATTTTTCTCATACTTCTATGCTGAATGAGATCCTCCTGCTCTGACAGGCACTCAGGGAACCTGTCCCCCCTCAGTGATGACTACTCCAGCACCCACACTCCTGCCCTGAGGAGCCATCACTGAGGACAGTTCACTGCATCAACTGCCCTCTCTTCCTTTCAATGGCACAGAGCACTGCAAATGTACCCTCACGGGAAGACCCTCTGCCTGGGGAGCGGCCACCTCTCCTAGCACCAACCGTGAAAACCACGAGTGGGCACGGTAGCCCAGGACCCATCCTTTCACCTTTCTTTTCTTTCCTTCCCTTTCCTCTTAAAGAAAGACTGCATGTGAAGGAGGAAAGCAGGTTGGCAAGACCAGTGGCCCCTGCGAGGAACACTAGCTCGCAAGCTCAGGACCCCACCCCAAAACAGACCTAGGTCTGAGCAGGCCAGGGATCTGCCAAGTCTCGCCTGGGCAGAGCCAGTCATGGCAGTGCTCCAGAGGCAGGAAGGTGCCAGCAGAGCATCCGAAAGGCCCTTATAGCCAGGGCCTCCCCTCAAACAATGGAGACATCTGGGCCCAGTACAGATCAGGGTAGAAAACCTCACATTTGGCCCCAATTACAAGTGGAAAGACTGAGTTACATATTCAATGGCCAGAAGAGTCTTTCTAGCCTGGGAAACAATTGACTCAATACCTTATAAGCTAAGAAAAAAATGTGAAAAGCCTAATGGTAGGAAGACGACTTGAGAAGCCAACTAGATGGAAGTTCCAATGAAAGCTTCAGCTGCTCTTAAACCCCTTAAGTCCTGTACTCACTCTTTTAATTAATTCTCAAACATATTTCAGTCTGGTCTTGTACATTTCTTACTTCCTAACACCAGGATATGTCAGCTCAGTGTTCTTTAAAAGATGATCATTTTGATTAGCACCCATGTACTTCCAATGAAACACATAAAGAAACCTATCAATGAAATGATTTTTTCAAAAAAGGAAGAAGAAAAATGGAGGCTTCCCTGGAATAATATATAGTCCTAGTTCTCTAGAGAGTGACTAAATTTTCTTAACAAATATGACATGCACAACAGGGCAAATGCACATTAGGACAAAAACACTGACCTCTGTACTTTACAAAATGTTTTTATGCTGGCTTCTATGAAACTATGAAAGATTACTGCCTTGGACTCAATAAGTTACTCTCAACATAACCTTTATTATTATTTATTTTTAATACTTGGGAACTTTGGACTCCTCCTTCTGTACTTGGCCCAGTCCCTACGGGGGGCTTTCCCCTGGACCAAACTCTGCTCTTGGATTCTTGTGAGACCAGGTGCCTCTTACCTGACACATCTTCCCACGCCAAAGTGCCTGTTCTAAATACATAAAGCCACCTATTTGTTCTGTGATGGGGCCCGCACCAAAGTTTGGTGGAGTTTGTCAGAGTGGCTTTTCTGGTTTCTATGGCACTGACCAGACTCAGCGTGGAGGCCATAAAAAGTTACCTATCCAGGGCCGGCCCCATGGCTCACTCAGGTGAGTGCGGCGCTAGTAGTGCCAAGGCCGCGGGTTCGGATCCTATATAGGGATGACCGTTGTGCTCACTGGCTGAGCATGGTGCGGACGGCACCATGGCAAGGGTTGCAATCCCCTTACTGGCCAAAAGAAAAAAAAAAAAAGTTACCTATCCAGGGATTCTGACACACAAATGCAGAAGAAACACTTCAGCTCACACAGAACTTTCGGATCATTCACACTTACTTCCAGATGGGCCCCAAAGGAAAAGAGACCCAACAACCGACACATCCAGCTACTTTGCCTCACTTCATTGTGCTTCTCAAGCTGCAGAACCAAAAGCCCTGCTTCCCTGCCAACAGCAACGGCTCCCCGCCAGCACATGGCTGCTCTCATTTCTGAGTCTCTGTAAGATTTGATGCTATGTATAAAACTCAAAGGACTGTAGGCTTTACCACCAAGAACAATCTGTGGCTTTATTACAGCTTCGTTTTATGAGGTCAAACTTTATATACTGTAATATTTTTAAACTTCAACAAAAGGGTGGGGGTGGGGAGTCACTGCCTCATCTCCGCTAGGCTCTAGAAAGCACAAAAGGGCCTCTCAGCCATGACCTTTGGGTGTGAGGGGTGGGCTGGGAATGAAGGCTTACCCCTTTCCTGAAAAATCACCCTGTGACAACCAACGGATTGAAAAAAGCCCTCACAAGTAGCCCTAGCAGCAGTAAGGGAACTTATGCTTAATTCTTGGGAAGGGGGAAAGGTGAAAGGAGATGAACGGTTTTCCTTAGGAGCCTGTTATTGATTATTTATGCCACTGTTCACAGCAACAGCACTTCAAGATACTGGCAGGACAGGGAGATTGTGTGAAGGGACAAATTCTTATCTAGTGGAAGGCAAGACAGACAACCTGGTAAAAAACTGCACTGACAAGTCCACCATTATCCCACTACATCTGCAATTCCGTCCTATTTTTCTGGTTATATCATCAAACTGAATACCCAAAGTTAGAAGCACAGGATTTCAGTTGAAAGAACTCTTAGTGTGGTTTGACCTCACCACATCCTGAAATGGTCCACAGCTCCAGCTGTCCAAATTTCTCCCTTCCTACTGGCCTCACGTCAGCTTCCCGCAGCTCTCCTGCCTCCCCATCATCCCAACCTCGAGTCACGCACAGGGGGCAGGTGTCTCCTGCACACCACCGTCCCCAAACTTAAAGTAGCTCTCCATGCCCACCTTCCTTTTCCATACCTACTAAGGCAGGGACTTGGTTTTTGATACTCACAGAAAACTTTTACATTTGTTAACGATTTTAAAATTATCATCTGGTATTATCCGTAAGAGCAGTGAGGGAAAGAAAGGCACAGTGTCTCAGATACATTTGGCCATATCTGCTGCCTCAGATCATGCTAACTTGAAAGACACAAAATATCTACTTCTTCATATCTCATCTTGTACCATCTGCTTAACACAGTGCTTTACTCTAGCATTAGAAGACATAAAATATGGTAAATTCAAAAGAATTGTTAAATTAACCTTTGAGTAACAAGATTATCATGTTTGTTCTGCATTGCTTTTTCAGGGAGAAGACCAAAGCTAAGCCTTATACATAAGTCCTGTCATTTAAGCATCAGAGGAGAACCTGGGTAAAAAACAACACGAAAGAAGAAAAGCACAAAACCCTCCGCATGTGCAGCCCCTCCCAGCAGGGGTGCACAGGAGCGCCCACTGCCAGATGTGCTGAGCTGGCTCAGGGCTGGAGCCCTCGTGCTCATCAAGGCACAGGTTTGGAGGAAACGACAGGAAGACACACTGTTGGGGCTCGGGGAGAGTGCAGACACAACTACACTCGCCATGCACAAAGCCGGCAGCAACAACGGTGTGGTGCCGCCCTGAAGAAACATCGCCCATGTTCTCTCCCACGACAGACTCGGTCAGAAGCTCCGTGTGCTGCTGCTGCTGCCTCAGAAGTGGGTGGCCACCCTTCAGCAATGGGCCAGAACACTCTCCAGGTTCTGCTTTATAAAGGAAGAGAGATGATGCACTGGTATCCAGGGAAATAAATCCCTTCCTTGCCGGGGAGGAGATAAGGAACCCGTAGCTTTGGCTGATCTGGCAGAGCTCCAACCTTCCAGCCTCAGATAATCTTCCCCTGAAAGCTGGCTCTGCCCCTTCCTCCATGGCGGGAATGAAGGGGAAAGGTCATGCAACCTGCAAGAGGAATTACTTGAAGTTACTGTGTCACCACAGCCGAGTCTGACTCTTAGAGCTGTGGGCTGAGCCGGGCCTTAAGAAGAGACCATTCCTTACAAGAACAAACCAAACCAAACACAAACAAAAACCCAAGGCATGCCTCAGGAGAATTATTCTGATTCTTAAGACACTCAGGGTAGCTATCTTCCCCTCACCCATCCCACAGAGGACATCCCTCACAGTCAGAAACACTGAGACCACATGCCCCGGTGAGACTCTGCCCACCGAGAGCCATAAAGGTATGAGCCGATTCACACAGAAGAAAATGGCAAAGGCCGTTCTTACCATACATGCCGTACTCCAGATGTCAGCAGGCGTGCTGTAACCTGCTCCTATTAAAACTTCTATGGACCTATACTGACGCGTCTGGATGTCTTCTGTGAAGTGTTTATGCTGAAAAGGGACAGACTGCATTACCATGGAGGAACACAGACATTAACAAAGAAAAAAAAGTGTCTTCTCACATAGAATCATGACCAAAATGTTTTAGAAAGAAAACTCCACTTACCACCCAACAAGCATTTCCCAGGTCAGCAATTTTTACTCTAATTTTATCTGCGTTCCGTGGATCCAGGGGATTCACCAACAAGTCAGCTGCCCGGGTTTTTGCTAGCATGAGCAAACAGCAGGACAGTTAGTGACTGGGATAAGTGGTTTGCACGTGTGAGAACAATGTTTCCAGGTACAGAGTTCCCTTTTCTAAAGACTGATGGGATGATAATGTAGGCCTGGAATCCTGTAAGCTGAGCTCAACAGAATTAAAAATTCTCAGCCTCCATCTCTAGAAAACAGTCCACCAAAGCAAGTAAACTGAGCTGCCTGGAGGACCCCATGGACACAGCCTTGCCCCTTCTCCTTTTATTCCAGATTCCTTCCCCGCTCCATCCACCCCAGAACAAGCCAGCCTTGCTGCACTCCCTGTCTGTATCTCTGTGGCCACCTCCCTCATGGGCCACATCTAGCTCGTTGGTGCATTCCTATAAGGAACACAGAAGTGCAGAGAGAATGTTGCATGCACGGCCATTCACTTCCTGGTGATTTGCGGTTTGCCTGACTCTGCAGGATTGACTGCAAGGCCCCTGGTACCTCCTCTCAACACTCACATCATTCCCTACATCTCCCACTGCATGGGCTGAGTGCACAAAGACCTCACAGGTTAGATGATGGTAAATTAACAAATACAGATTAAAGGCAGGGACTAATTTATTCTGGTTTCATTTTAGACAAGGAAGACTCCAGACAGAGGTCTCCTGAGATGGCCTGGGCCATAAAAGCAACCTCTGAGGTCATTCATGAACTTCTCACATACTCAGGGCACTCTTAATTCCAGGGTGACCCCAACGGAATCTCAACAGCAGGTATACGGCCAGGCTTCCCAGGGCTCCTGTGCCAGAAGAGCTTCTCGGATAAGCCTAGACCATGCTTGAATGAAACGCAGTTAACAGGGGGCAAGTGACAAAGAAAAATAACATGGAGAGGCCCAGAAAGAAAACCCTGAAGTGAGTCAGCATATTCATCACCAAACCTCAGACTGACCTACAAGCTCAGACTTTCGTTAAGGACAAAATGTAATCATGGCTTTTATTTAGTTCAGAACTAATTCTGAAATGATATTTACAGACTAAACAGAAAAGCCTGCTCAATGCAGAACACTGAACACCCACCGCAAGGAGCCCTTTTGTCCACTCAAAGCTGGGCCCTGCTGAAATGGACTAAGCCTCTCTGTGGGTACCCCTGAGGTGCAGAACCATGGTGCTCGAGGAAGTTCCAGTTCCTCAGCATGCTCCATACAGGCAGGAAGGCCAGCTTTGCTGGGCACTGCGCAGGCTGGGCTCCCAGGACCTAGGGCACCCACTGAGCTTCTGAGGGGTCTCCAGAAGATGCTGAGAGAGTCCTGGCCAATGTTGTTAACTCTCAAGACCTGTTCCTTGGACTTGTGAATCAACCTGGGCCAGCTGGACACAGATGGTCCCCCTTCTTGCTACCTGCCCTGTGACCACTTCCATCTTTATAAGGATGCTGATCCACAGTGCGGCCTCACCAAAGGCCAGGCACAAGCTGAGGAAAAGAAACACAGGAAACAATGAGAAAGACAGCAGCCCTGAGACCCACAAGAGAAGGCAAAAGGTATGCACTGATAATGGGGCTGAGAACAGAGTTCCGGGATAAACAAAAAAACGCTGACCCAATGGATAAATGGACCATACTAGAAATGGCTAGATGAATCTTTCATATTGTTTAATCAAGGAGAATCAGCAGGAAGGAAAATGGAATTTGAGGTTTGCAGAACTGGATCCAAATCTAAGTTTCAGCAACTACAAGTTGTAACACTGGCAAATGACTTGAACTCTTTGAGGCTCAGTTTTTAGGAAAGGAGGAAGGGAAAGGGACTGCTCCTCCTCGCCAAAGAAACAGAAAACAAAACATTCAAACACAGAAGAGTCAGGGCAGTGGCTGGCAGACTGGCCAGATCCAAAGGCTTCACTCTGAGTGACCAGTTGAAGCCACCCACTGGGGTCTGAGGCTCCTGCCTGGTCAGTGAGGGGCCAGAGGGCAGCAGAAAGAAGAGTTGCCCAAGGACAAGCCCCACCTCTACACTCAGACCAAGGGTCTCATGACAGAAGAAGGTGAAGCCACAGTGGACATATGTGGTCACGAATCATAGGAAGATGTGGTTTCTTTTCTCTATTAGGATGGGTAACTGTGAGCTTGCTGTCATCTGAAGTGGAAGGAGGTGATCTATAATCTACCACCCACACCTAGCTGTTTCTAAAAGACGCCTCCCAGGAGCTGCATAATTCAATTAAGCTGGAGGAAATATACTTTCAAAGACATATCACCACACATTTAATTACAGTTTCTTTGTAGTTAATATCCCTCATTTATGTTCAGTGAAGAAAATCTTTTTGGTGACATGCTGCTATCCTCCTTGATCAGGTTTGTAAATAGGTATCCAGCTCACACTGTGTTCCAAATGACACCAGGTAATTTATTTCAATAATTTAATTGTATAAGAACACAACAGGAGGTAAAAGAGATTCTGCTTGTATTTCTGACTTTCTGTTCTCAGTGTGATAGTTCCTGTACTAAGGTACCTGACTACAACACCCCAAAAAGCCCGTTTCAACACAGGGATGGTCATGCTTGCTGTGTAGTCATTCCAATTTTGCTTCGCCTGGGAATCAGATCACCTCCTTTGATTAAGTCATCCTGTGGCGACCTGTCACAGCTCTTCCTTCTCACTGGTAATGGTAACACAGAGGACAAACTAGAGCTGTCTTTCTTCCAAAATGAAAAGAATGCAATGGCTCCCTGCTTCCACCAAGGAGGGAATAAGTGGAAGACTTCCCTTCAGGAAGGGCTGGGGCCCTTAGGTCACTTTCTGAAAAACCAGCCTCTAGGTGACGCTGTGGTAACTCATGGCATGAGAAACTATCCTAGAAACTAGTAAGATGGCAGCAGCAGTACCTCAGCATGATGAGACAGCTGCCATCATGTGGGTGCAAGGCACTGTGCTGGGTACACACTAACTCTTCATATTCTAAAACATCCTACAAGGAAGGTATGAACAGCCTCTCTATATGGAAGACCAAGGAAGCAGCAGAACTAGGAGATTTAATGTCAACACCTGATCCATTCATTCAACAAATTTTTTTTGAAGGGCTATCTTGGCACTAGGACCACAGCATGAAGACACACCACAAATTAGGAAACTCATATACTGGCTGGAAATACGGGCAATAAAGTAAATACATGAGTAATTCACACATCATGTCAGGCAGCTATAAATGCTATGAAGGAAAACAAAGCAAAGAAAGGACACAGATAATGATGAGGGTGCTCAGGGGAGGTCTTTTCTGAGAATGTGACATTTAAGGAAAGGCCTGAATAAAGGAAGGCATGGAGGGGGAGAAGGTCTACACAAAGGAGACAGGAAGCGCAAAGACCCCGAGGCAGAAACAAGTTCACAATTTTGAGAAACATCAGAAGGAAGCCAGTGTGAGTGTACAGAATGAGCCAGGGACACGGAGGTGGGGGATGACAAGGCAGATGACATTGCAGAGCTGCCAAGGAACACACGGTGGAGAGCTCGTCAGCTCTAGTGAAGGGTGGAAGATACCACAGGGCATCCTTCTTCAAGAGAAATACAGTGGAGATCATATTTTAGGGGGGGAAGGGAAGATAATGGTATATAGTTTAAAACAGAGAATGGACCCGGGAGTGGGAACTGAAATGAGAAGAGTCGGAGGCTGTATTATCATAGCCTAGGAAAGAACTGACAGCCACACAGGTCAGTGCTGGGTGACACTGAAAGGATTCCAAACTTGTCCTTTAGGTAAAATCAGCAAGACGACCCTGCTCCAAAGCCTCTGTCCTTCAGAGGTGATGAGCATGTGCTGCAGCTGTGGCAGCTAATAACCAAAGAGGGACCCTGCTCCTCTTCTCAACCTTCAATGGCTGCCAAGTTACTCTAGAAAAAAGTCTACATTCTTTAGGCTGGTGTTTAATTTCTTCTTCAGTCTTCTCAATCTGGCCATGACCTCATAGGTGCTACTATTCCCTCATAGGTGCACTCTGCTCTATTGACAAGGATCCACACAAATTCAATAAAACTTGTTTCTCTGCCTCATTTTCACGCAGTACCAGTGGCCAACTGCACGCCTCTAGGCCATACCACCCTTCCACAGGAAACCAAAAACACCTCCCATGGTTATCAAATGACAAGTTGGAAACCAAACAAAACTGGGACAAAACTGAGTGACTCCAAACAAATGACTAGGGGCCGGCCCGGTTCGGATCCCATACAGGGATGGCCCGTGGCTCACTTGGGAGAACGCGGTGCTGACAACACCACGTCAAGGGTTAAGATCCCCTTACCAGTCATCTTTAACAAAACAAAACAAACAAACGAACAACAACAACAAAAAAAAAAACAAATGACTAGATACGAAGATCCTGTCCCTGGTATGTCCCTAGAATTTAACAATACTGAAAAGGTCTGCTTGGTAAGAAGCTGGGATCAATGGGAAAAAAAAAAATAATAACTCTTTCTACCTGAAACAATGCACAAAGGCTAGCGGGGACGGAATGTGTGCTGGACAAGGTACAATTGCCACTCGGAACAGAAAAGGGTGGGAGGAAGGGAAGAGGAGTAGGTGACTAGAGAGCACTCGTTTGTTTGTTCATTATTCAGTCAATATTTACCATAGCACTGCTCATCACTGTTAGATGCTGACACTACAAAAAGAAAAGCACGCTGCACTCTCAAAGAGTTTACACTGTAGTGAGGAAGAAGATAACGGAAATGAGCAGTGACCGCACGATTAAGAAAAGTCCGACCTACAGGAAAAGCGGGGAAAGAGAATCGAGGCCTGCTGGGAACACGCAGGCACTCACTCACCCAGGAGGCAGCAGGCTATGTCTTACCACATTCAGCATCAGCAAATGTAAAAAAAGAAAACTTGGGCTGGCCAGTTAGCTCAGTTGGTTAGAGCGCAGCCTTGTAACACAAAGGTCAAGGGTTCGTATCCCTGTACCAGCCAGCCACCAAAAGAGAAAGAAAATTTTAGGACAACCGAGGAAATTTGAATATGGAATACATAATAGACGGTATTATAAAATTATTAATGTTCTTACACATGATAGTGGTATTGTTGTGATGGGGAATGTCCTAACCCATCTTTCTGGAGATGAATGCTGGAGTATTCAGAAGTGAAGTATCCTAATATCTACAGCATGCAGTATCTGTGTCAAATAAATATATATATATAACATGGCAAAATGTTCACTGTTAAATCTGTGTGGAGGATATACTGTTGTTTATTGTACTATTCTTTCAAAACAAGAGAAAAGCACAGCACTGTTCTGCTCTTTCCTCCCGCACCTTGGCAGACGGTGCTGGTCAGCCTGGCCGCATGCACTCCACTGCAGAGACCACCGCTGTGGATGGGGCGCTGTGAGAAACTGTGAGTAGGGACGAAGCTTATCTGATTGGTGTATTTCAAAAACGCAGCAATGGGAAACAGTGATTTGAAAGGCAGGTCAGATGACAGCTGGAGAGATCATAAACCGAGAGATCAGAAAGCCTCATTACAGTTCAGGCAAGTAGTGACTGTCCCCATGATAGGGCCAAGGCAAGGAGGAGCCCTACTTTGGAGGTCCACCTGGCAAGACCGGTGACTTACTGGACGTTAGAGAAAGAAGATGTAGATATCAAGGCTGGCCAAGTTTCTCACAGGAGCAATGGGAGACGGCCGTACAAGTCTAGGGGACACAGCATATTTAGCCAGCTAGTGGTGAAAGTTACATTCTGGTTGGGACATGTCAAGTTTGAAGTGCTCTGGTAACATGGAGCTGTCATGCCCGCAGCTGGCTAAGTGGACCTTGAGCACGAGAGGGCAGAGCAGTAAAGTCTTCTGCCTGGAATGAACTTTCCTCAGATGCTGGCCTTGCTCCCCCAGCCCTGATCCAATGTCACCTCGTCAGTGAGGCTCGTGCACTGTCCAGGTAAGATGTAAATCTGCTGCTTGTACACAGCATCCTTACCAGGCTGAGTTCTTCTCCACAGCACTTCTCGTCTTGAGTCAGCTTGCCAGGGCTGCCTATTCCTGCGGGAATACAAGCTCCACAGGGGAAGGTACCCATGGGCTTATCTGACTGCTTTATCCTCAGTGCCCACAACAGGGTCTAGCACACTTCTGGGACTCAATAGTTGTTGACTGAATGAATATGCATTTGGCCATAATGCCACACAGAAGGCAGCAGAAATCATGGGCAGGCTCAGGTCAGTCGGGAAAAGACTGGAGTGGAGAGAGAAGTGGGCTGAGGACATGGATCGGGGCAACACCAACATTTAAGACGCCTGAAAAAGACAAAGGAACTGCCCAGAGGAGCAGCAGGACCAAGTGGAGCCAGTGAAGCTGAGGGAGGGTTGAGGCCGTGGCAGGAAGGTGGCAGGGTCAGCAGGGTGGGTCCACACTATCAGACCCCAACGCTGTGACAGGACGCTCCTGGATGGCAGCACAGCCTCACACCAATGAAAAGATGTGCACAGCTCCCTGATCGCGTGCCTAATTATTCTTGACATCCAAGCAATGTGCTCTTAGTTTCAATGTCTCCAATGGGATTTTACATTTTATCTAAATTAGAATTTTCCTCTAATCTCCTCTCATTCATCCACTTCAATGTGAGATTTCCCTCTACTTTTCTTTTTCGCATGGCAATTTTTTTCTTTTTCTAGATCTAAACCTGTACCCACCTATTCTCACACCTCCCCCCCAATCTAATATGAATAATGATGTTGTGGACAGGGCTGAACCAGGAACCAGGAGGATTTACAAGCTACTGTCCAAGCAACTACGCCCAGCCTCACAGGGTGCCTGGGCTGCAGACACTGAAAACACGCGGCAGCAGCAGTCACGCCCCTGCCAAGCTTGTGACGACCATGGCACTTACACTCACTGAGAAAGTGTTCATATGTTATTAGTACATGCTATCTACCTATACCATTTACCTGTATTATCTAATTCAATGCTAACAACAACCCTACATATAGCCATTTCTTTCCTTTGATAGAGGAATAAACTGAGGCTCAGGGAGGTTAAGGAACCAAAGTCCCATAGCTATTAAGTTTTGAGCTGGGATTTAATCTGATATATTTGAAGCCATTGCTCCAAGCTGCTACTTGTAAAATAATGAATAAAAAGGTATTTTGTAAATTATTTTCTATAAGGATCTATAAGTAAGGTAAAAATTGAGCTGTACCAGCGTAATAAATCTGGAGAAGGTACATTTCACTGCTACCCTTTCCTAGACATGAACCTAGATTCCAAGTGAAGCCATTTTATAGCACCTTCAAACACTCCTTGGCCAGGATAAAGGCGAAGAGAAGGTGACCATGTCCAGCCAAGTAAAGAAAACATATCATTATGATGATCAGCTATAGCCAGTGAGTCACAAAGCCGGCTCATTCGCCAGGGTGCAGGTGGCCAGCCTGCTGAAAAGAAAGGGGCTGCTTGCCAGGCTGGCTGGTCGATGACTAGCCACTTGTTAAACACTTCTGTCAATAGAGGGAGCAGAGGAGATTTCCAAGTTTTTCCACTGGGGGACAGAATGGAAACCAACAGTGACACCCAGCATTCGCTTACTCAAGTCATTCAGTGATATGTCACATGGCATTCATTTCCAAAATAAGGGTTTGAAATGAGTCTGGACCCCAGGTAAACAAGAACACAAGATCCAATCTACAATTTGTCATCACATTTAAATCCATGCCACTTTCTCTAAAATTACAATCCTGGGCCAGTTATCAATAGCAGGGTCCCACAATAAGGAACAACTATCAAAATAAAATATGACACTTTGTCAATACAGCCAAAGAGCAGGCACCCTTTTTCTTAAATAGAAGCAAAACAAACAAAACCTAAGTGTAACACTATCAGATGGAAGAAGACACAAATTATAAACTAAACTACATATTCTAGAAAGGTACCAGGTATAAGCCTCTAGACCTGAAGGCTTTTGCAAATGTTTGATGGCACTGACTAAATATAGAAAGAATGAGAAAAGCTCAGAAATGGGATTTGATACACAGAGCAAGAGAAAGCCTAGTGGCAAAGAATATATTTTTAAATCACATTACCTGTTCACAAATATAATAAAAAGAAAATGGCTAGTGCACACATACATGGCTTTACCACCTTCAGCCAATTCCACTCACATCATTTGTCAAAGGCATGACCCTGGGGGACTGAAAGCAGATAGCTGATGGGATGAGACACTTACTTTTCGGCAGTTCCCCCGTACTAGAGGCTGAAACTGTTCTGCTTCTGTCATGGGATGGACTGCTTTCCTCTTGCTCGGTAAGTGGTGATCCCTCAGAAAGCACAGAGCCGCAGGCCACAGGTTCTAAGGGCTCAGAAAACAATGAGGTGGAAAACTCTGGAAACTGTGACTCAGGAATTTTATGTCGTCCATTTGGCAATTCACCATTGAATTGTTCGTAGGAGCTGCTATATGTGTAATCACTTTCTGCATTTGGCTCGTCAAGGTTATATTCCTCGGGGTTTGGGCAGTCGTCTTCATCATCCTCCTCTTCCTCCAGCTGCTGTTCCAGTAAGAACGGGCCATTCTCAATGTGGCCATTAGTTTTAGGTGATTCTATCCACGCAGGGTCTATGTTCACAAGTTCCTGTTCAACATCTTCTTCATCTTTCTCAATGTTTTCTTTCTCGGTGTCTTCCTTCTCTTCCTGGTCCTCGGCTTCACCTTAAAAAGTCGATGGGTTAAGAATTAGAACTTGTTACTCTCCTTAACACAGTGGCACTAGATACTTATCTCCCTCAACAAGATACATTTTTGAATGTCCTTAATTTATGGACCACACAGTAAATACCTCTTGGATCTTGAGGTAAAACCTTTAGGTTTTCTAAGTCTTACCTTTTGTTTACTTAATAATTGGCCTGCTATTATTAGAAAAAGTTAACTTTTAGGGAAGAAACTACTTATGAATAAAGCTGCACTTCCATTTCTACCCTCTCCTCTGCAAGCTTCAGAAAAAGAATCACGGTACATTACAGTTAGGTAAAAGGTTAATTGCAAAATAAAGGAAGCGCATTTTCCATTTTTAAAAAAAAAACCTATATGAAATGTAAACCTATTTCTGGCACACATGTCATGAATGAAGGATCAGGCTGTTTGCCACACTCCCCAGCAGGGAGCTGGAGAGGTCATGCTCAGTATGCCTGTGTGGTGACTTGACAGGAGTCTATTCGTGAAGCTCCCAGGACCCCATGCAGCCCTGTCTCCAGAGTCCACTGACCGTCGTCCTTCGCTGTCTCTCCCACAGCTGCCTCCTCTAATCCTGCTGTTTTTAGTTTCACCTCTGGGCAGTATTCATCATCTTGCTCATTGGAAAGTACAGCTGAGGTGATGTTTTCTTCTATTATTTTCCTCTCAGCTTCTCGCTCCAATTCTTCTATCTCCTGCAGGCGTTTTTCCAGTAACTCAGCCTGCCTCTTCTGCTTCTTTTTCAGTTTTTTCTTTTTGTTTTTAGATATTTTTCCTATCTACAACAAGTTAAGAAAACACCGCAGGTCAGTCTGCTTCTTTTTAAAGCACCACATAATAGTACAACTGCTGGCAGCATGGCAAATACCAATAAACTGTGTTTTTTCATGTCATATTCCATAAAAATTACAAGCCCAGACATAGGTCCACATTCTGATTAGGATTATGGTAAAACAAGAAAAAAAAGAAAGCAACTGGCTAATACCACGTGCTTGGTCTACTAACCAGGTCCTGCCCTCAGACGGACACAGCTTAAACCCATTCACCATTTAAACTTTAAGAGAACTGAATATCCTGAGATGCACTCTTGGCTTTACGTAAGAAGCTCCTTTTGCAAGTTTTATCTGCTGCTGTCTGTATACAAAGTAACATCATCTCATCTCCTCATTGCCAAAAAAGAAATGTCTGCCAAAACAGGTGTATTTCACTGCTGGTCAAGAGCACTGTTCGTGTTTTGGTCTCACATATTAAGCTGTTATCAAGAGCTAAGACAACATGAACTACAGAAATGAGCACATAAAGTAAGGGGGAAAAAGAAAAAGCCACAGTTTCTGTCTGCCTCCAGTCATGGCCATCTGATTTGGAAAGTATCAGCAATGAGAGCCTCCAATCTTTTATAGAAGCAGAAACTCAAACAGCTCAAGCCAAGCAGAACTATGGGAAATGACTCAGGTGCCTCAGCAGGCCAGGAAGCCTAATTATTACAGCTCCCCCTTAGACTGGAACTTCCATTCCAAACTGAGGGCTGTTTCATTGGACATAGTGTTTTCAAAGAACAACAAAATAGGTAATACTCTTTCATATTCAATCTAGTTAGAGAAAAAAATTAACAGCAGATTTAGAAACACAGGTAACTTGGAAGCCAATCAAAAATACTATAAAATGGTTTTGGAATAATCACACTTCAAACCCTATCTCTATCATCTCACATTTCACCAGACTTGGCCAACAGCACTCCAGAAAGTGCATCAGGAAGATCGATCTTGGAACAGCTTTAATTATTCCAACTCTGTAGAAATCACTTCAACTTAACAAAACGGTAAGGTTTACATATTTAAGAATACACAGCATTTATAAATATTAAATTAATGTACATTATAACATCTGTTATAATTTGAAATACTCAATAATGAATAATCCCTTTTGACATGTGAATATAAGTAGATGTGTAAGTACTCACAGGTTTTTGCTGTGGAGCCGTACTCACTAAAACAAAACAAAACAAAATGGATGGTTAGAGGAAAACAGATACATATCTTTACATAGGTAATTCAAATTGCAAAATGAAATAATTACTGTCTTTTAATGGCTATCCGACTTCAAAGACTTAAAAATCAGTTTCTTAATCATAGGGGATCTAGAGAAAATTTATCCAACTCAAACAAATGACTCACTCTTAACAGACACAGCAGAAACTGTTCATACTGAGCCATTTCTCTCATTTATCTAAAATTAAATACCAATACATTTCAAAAGCAGTCAATGCCAAAGCACCAACTGATAAGAAAACAGAGCAGAGTTCATAAACATCACATAGCCATAGAACGAAATTTGTTTCATAGACAATGAAATGAACAGTTTAGATTAGATGTACATCTATGTTTGAAACCTATTTGGCAACTACTGCAGCAAATAGCAGCAAGTATTCTAGAAATCACATAATTTAAAACCCTACCAGTGCAAAGGCTTGATAGGCTAGTTCCATGACCTAAATAACACCCTGATGGCAGTAAATGAGATGTGAGGACCTCCCACAAGCCCCAGTCAGTCCCAGGAGCCTGGGCCCTTCTGTCTGTATGCTTGACTGACAACACACTAGGCACATGGACTTTTTGGAAAGAGCATGAAAGCACAGTCAACAATTTAATGCCACCACTGAATTCTGTGAAAACCAGAAATAAATTCCATATATGCCAAAACTCAAGTCACTGGGTCTTCTTAAAGGTTTGATAAACTGCCAAACAGTTTTCCTCAGGGGCTACACCATTTTACATTCCCACCAGCAATGTATGAGAGTTCCAGTTTCCTCATCCTGACCTACAATTATTATTATCTTTTTATTTGAGCCACCCTAGTGGGTATGAGGTGCTATCTGATTTGTAACTAAATCCACATCTACCAGTTAAACTCAGATTGATTTAGTTACACTAACTGGAGCGTGGAAAGCATTCTGACAAGACTGAATCTAGAATAAAATTATGATGACTACAGGTCACCTACAAGAAACTGTTACTATATTCTCCTCTGCAGAGAAGTAGGAAACACAAGAAAATGTTCAAATGTGGATGAAGCAGCAGCTAAGAATTTAAACGGCCTTTTAAGAAAGGACACAAGTAATTCAAAAAATATAATCTAATTGGGGTATCTTCTTTCTCAAGGAAAAGGTCCCATTATTTTCAGAAACCAGGCTCCTACAAAAAGTTCCTAATCTGTATATGTTTGACACAGTTGCTTTCTACGTGCAACTCTGCAAGCTCACAAACCCCCCAAATAGACTGAAATGAAGCAGACTCAGGCCCCTCACCTGCAGACCCCGAAGGAGGAGGAGCACCTGCTTTCTGCCATTCAGTGGCCTCAGCTGCCATTCTTCTCACATATGCATCGTCCACACACATCAAGATGTTTTCTGGCTTTATGTCAGTATGAATAATCTTGCACTTACTGTGTAGATAATCTAACCCTTGAAGGACCTGGTCACAGTAAAAATCAAGAGAGGAAATGAGCTATTAAGACCTTCATTATTTAACTTTTACTTATTTGTAAAATAGGTAATATACTCACAGGGCACGAAATTCGATAGACACAAAAGGGGTTCTTAGTAAAAACCTCCCTCCCACCCCTGCCCCCATAGGAATCCAGCTCTCCTTTCCACAAGCAATCAATTCCAGAGATAATTTATGCTCACAGAAGCAAATGCATCTCTCTCTATATATACTTCTTCAATAAGAACTTCATTAAAAAATAATTCACATATTATACAATTCCCCCTTTTAAGTGTACAGTTCAATGATTTTTTGATATGCCACCATCACCACAATCTAATTTAGGACATTTTTATTACTCCCAAAAGAAACACCATACCTGTTAACATTCATTCCCCATTTCCTCCAGTCCTAAGTAAACACTAATGGACTTGCTGTTTCTGGACATTTTATACAAATGGAATCATATAAAGCGATCTTTCGTAACTGGCATAATGTTTTCAAGGTTCACTCTTGTGTTGCATGTATTAGTAATCATTTCTTTTTAGTGTCAAACAATATTCAATTGTACAGATATATGACATTTCATTTATCCATTCACTTGATGAACATTTGGGTTACTTCCACTTTTTGTCTGTTCATGTACAAGTTTGTGTGAACACATGTTTTTATTTTTCTTGGATATATATATATATACCTAGGAGTGAGATTTTTCAACAATATGGTAACTCTGTAGTTCGTCTTTTGATAAACTGCCAAACTGTTTTCCACAGGGGTTGCACCATTTTACATTCCCACCAGCAATGTCTGAGGGTTCCAATTTCTTCATCTAGACCAACAATTATTACCTTTTTTATTTTAGCCACCCTAGTGGGTATGAAGTGGTATCTCATTGTGGTTTAGATCTGCATTTCCCTGATGGCTAATGATATGCACACATTTTTAATACTACAGAAAAATGAGGATTTAATTTAAATAAAAAGAAAATAGTCCTGGTATTGAGACCACATTACAGCACTATACTAAAAGAAGGTGCTGAACCAAAATATTCAGATGCTTATCATATTAAATAAACAAACAAACATAAACTTATAGAGTTCCAGTGACCTAAATGCAAGGCCAATGTTTTTTTGGAATTAATTCCACTGGAGAAAATTTCTTTCAAATCTTTTCATAAACAAAATTTATTCTTAAAATGCTGTTCGTGTTTCCATACACTAGAAATTCTAAATGCCTAACAAATATTAGCATCACTATTCAAACACTAAGTCATTTAGACCTATTATCCACAAGAGACAAGAAATGTGAAAAAGACAGGCAGAGGATATATAACATCATCCAACACTGGAAAATTCCCAGCAAAAATCCAATGTTTCTGTTTATCTGGCTAAATAATCTTCAAGGATGACACAATAGCATTACAGAGTGCCGGAACAGAGATTTTAGAAGGAAATGCAAACAGGAATACCAATTTCTTCAACAGGATCAAAATTCCTACAATCATTTAAGATTACGTTTTCTTAGTAAGTATTTTTCACATGAAATCAATGAACGAGTATCAGCTGAGCTCCTATCACAGGTCATGCACTATTTGAGGTACTTGATATATCGCAATATACAAAGTTCCCTGTCTTCATGGTGCCTGCAGTCCTCGTGTCTTCATACAGCTTACTAATTTATGACTTTGAGAGAGGTTGGGTTGGCCAAAAAGAAACCAAGACATATGCGGAGCACAGCGAGTATGATTTAATGAGATACTGACAAGTGACTAGTAAGTACCAGCAAAATGAATAAATGTAAAATAAGATAAGGAGAAATTTATGACTTTTTACCTTAGAATACTTACTGTGTTAGATAATACTGCAATTATAATATATTTAAATTATGTTTCAAATGTCAAAAGACCAATAGTAAGAAAGATATGATTAAGTACTTCCATAAGGGATAAGGTTATACTCTAGAAGGAAACACAGTCCCAATGGTCCATGTTATTCACTGATATTCATGCATCTTCCTTGTGCAAACTAAATTATGTGGAGTTTTAATATCTGAACAATGAGAGTCTCTGAGAAGTACAAGAAATTAAAGGATAGGGATACTGATGATGTCCAGACAGAGGTTTAAGGAATGAGATCTTTGAGAAATTTTAAAGTTTAAAATTACTCCAACTGAAATTTCACTTTTAGTTATCAAATACTAACTCAAAGTTTAAATGTCAGTATCTTTCTTTTCTTTTCTTTTTTTTTTTTCTTCCTTTTTGTCTTTTTTCGTGTCCTGCAACGGATCGCAACCCTCAGTGTCGCGCCCGTACCGGACCGGGCCCGGCAACGGGATCGCAACCCTCGGTGTTGCTCCCGCACCTCGCTCAGCCAGTGAGCGGGAACCGGTCTGGAGGTGGGATCCGAACCCTCGGCGGGAGCGCCGCCGCGCTTCCCAAGCGGCGCACTGTAGCAGTGCGCCACCGGGCCGGCCCAGTATCTTTCTTTTCTTTTCTTTTTTTCTTTTCTTCCTTTTTGTCTCTTTTCGCGTCCTGCAACGGATCGCAACCCTCAGTGTCGCGCCCGTACCGGACCGGGCCCGGCAACGGGATCGCAACCCTCGGTGTTGCTCCCGCACCTCGCTCAGCCAGTGAGCGGGAACCGGTCTGGAGGTGGGATCCGAACCCTCGGCGGGAGCGCCGCCGCGCTTCCCAAGCGGCGCACTGTAGCAGTGCGCCACCGGGCCGGCCCAGTATCTTTCTTTTCTAAAACAGCTTTTGTCCACATTCTCATGCACACCCGTATCTTTCCACCTTGGCTTCTTTCACAGTTCTAAGGTTGTTTTACTGTGTGGGAGGCTACACAGGTAAGAGTTAATGTGAGTCAGTATGTAAAGGTGTTACTATGAGTTCCCAATAACTACCATGCACCCAAGACAAGCAAAGTGTTCTCAGTAAGAACTAAGGTTCCAGATTTTTTAAAAAATACTGGCTATTTCACTCACCTGGGCTAACTTTCCTTAAGAAGCACTGGCTGGGCTGGCCAGTTAGCTCAGATGGTTAGAGTGTGGTGCTGATAACATCAAGGTCCAGGATTTAATCCCTGTACCGACCAGCTGTCCCCACAAAAAGAAGCACTGGCTATAATGTCTGACAATGAACACAAGGAATAAAAACTTTACCAGTGGGACAAATTACGTAAGTTACTTAAGATAATCCAAATCATAAAGGAAATGAAACAGTTAAGAGATATAGCAGGGGACAGTGTTAAAATACAACTTTGGGGGCCGGCCCGGTGGCGCACTGCTACAGTGCGCCACTTGGGAGCGCGGTGGCGCTCCCGCCGAGGGTTCGGATCCCACACACAGACCGGTTCCCGCTCACTGGCTGAGCGAGGGGTGGGCGCAGCACTGAGGGTTGCGATCCCGTTGCCAGTCCCGGTCCGGGTGCAACACTGAGGGTTCTGGTCCATTGCCGGACATGAAAAAAGACAAAAAGGGGAAAAAAAAAAAATACAACTTTGGGATTCAGACTGCTCTTAAAAACTGTGTTATCCTGGGCAAAGTGCTCTCTGAGCTTCAATTTCATATCTGTAAAGGGGGGGTATCTATTTAGACACAAATACTTTATAGTAAGAATTAGAAATAATCCATGGAAAACTCAAAAAAACAAGGTCTAGCACACAAGAAGCTCAAAATAAATGGTAGAACTGAAGAAAGTCTGAAGATTTGTGAGGCTGGCTGGTTAGCTCAGTTGGTTAGCACACAGATTTGTAACACCAAGGTCAAGAATTCAGTTCCCTGTCCCAGCCAGCCGCAAAAAAAAAAAAAAAAAAAATGATTTGTATTGATATTGACTACATTTCTCTGGGTCTCAGCTGTCTCAATCTAATATGAAAGGCCTATGTAATTTCTTTTAATTCTGGACTACTATTTAAAATACAATCTTTAGCTGTAGCTGAGAAGTATGATTTTATTTTCAAAAACAGCATTTCTGTTCTTAACCAGTAAAGTTTAACATAATAAAGTATCCCAGAATTAACCAACACTGACAGGCAAACTTACAACCATTTATGCAGAATAAATGAGATAATGGGGGGAAAAGACAACAAGAATCAAGCTTCATGCCCAAGGATAGTTCTCCCCTTGAAAAATCTGACAGAAGTGAAAAAGCCTTTACTAATTTTTCCCTCTGCTGCCTTCAATTGTCAAATCATAGTACGTGTCTCTTGCCTAAAAACCATACTTGGCATCAGCAGCAGGAGGCAGCAGAGGCTGCAGAGATCCTTTGGCTGCCAGGAAAGCTGAGATCAATCTGACCACAGATGGGCCAGGGACAGGGCTATCAACTGTCCCACTCAGAGGAGCCACATCACACACTTCAGGAGCAGGTGCAGGCTTCTCCATGTGAGGTCAGACTTAGAGATGAGCAGCAGTGCAGAAATGAGGCAGAGTCCAGGGCTGGGAGCTAGAGGCCCCCAATTCTGGTTCAGGAACTAGCTAGCTACAGGCTCAGAGAAAGTCCTTTCCCTTCTCTGAAACTCAAATTCATCTGTAATTAAGGCATTTGGTCAAAGTGTCTCTAAGGTTTCTTTCTGTACACCAACAGCTGTGCCAGGTATCACCCATTACTGGTCTTATCAACATACACCTGCTTCTCTCCATAATGCCTTGCTTGAAACAGGTCCTGTGATCTTGCAGATAAAAGGAGGAATAAGTCAAAACTAATGTGGAGACTTCTCTAGAAGACTGACTACCCAGAGAGTAAAGTTTCCCCCAAAATTCTAAACTGTTAAAAGAAATAGAATGGGAGCAACTTCCCAAATTATGTTCTGATCCTGGGGACAACATAAGGACTTTCTTCCTCCCACACCTGAATAAAGGACACAGACACAGGGCAATGAGACTTTGCCTGCCTCTTATCCTGTTGGTAACAGAAACTAATAAATCACCAACAGGAACCCAACAGGCAGCCAGATGGGCTGGCAGAAGAGAGGAGGCTGGCCCCAAGC